GGCGGGTGAACAGTAATGAACAGTAAAATTAGCTACTGGAATTTGCATTTTCTGCCGGACAGATTTTACGAAAATGGGCATAACTTCTTCGTCCGAACTCCGAATGAGGTGAAACGAAGTGCGTTAGGTAGCTAACTCAAAGGGCTTTCCATGGATATATTATTGGCCACCCAAATAATTTGTGTGCTAGGAGATATGACCCTCCAAAGTAGACCCTCGAAAAAGGCTTCACTTGGAAATTTCGGATTTTGATACGGTTGCTCTAAAATTTGGGTTAGACCCATTTACCACTCAATTTGACCCCCTAAACAAGAATATGAAGTCGGATTTTCGAAAAACGAAACGGATCTTTTTATATACAGCTAAACAAGTTTCCGGTAACTTCCGAAGCACATTTTTAAGAATTTTTTGGGTCAAATTCAAATATAATCATTTCATTAAGTTCTCAACCCCAAACTCACATGTGAGGCTCTAGTTTCACTAGTTCATTTTTAGGGTCGTTACATTTATAGTCTGGGTCTGTAGAAAGTGGTTTCTTAGAATCTCCATTGATGAAACCCAATTTATTCTTCACTGACAGAGATCTGATGATGCCTCTCCTCCAGGATCTATAACCAATTCCATCGAAAACGACTGGTACAAGAGGTGCACCTGGATTATCTGATGGATGTAGGTATAAAACACTTCCTATTTCAATTCTAGTTACCTCTAGATTAGTGACTTCTACCATTGTAGTGCAGCAGAATCAATCCACAGAAATGGAGAAGAGAATGTGTAGGAAAGTAAAAGAAGACTGAAGAATAGTTGAAAGAAAAAAGAACAGGTAACCTGAAACAAGCCTGAGAACTGAAAGATCTTCACGAGAAGGACGGAGATAAGCAAGGTTGATCGATCCCTCGCTCTGATACCATGTAAAAACTCAGAATGAAAGCAGCGAGAACCACCATTAATGGTGGATTCTAGAACCTACTGAACTCAAGATTAAGAGAGAGTTAATTGAGAAGGCACATTTCTCATTTCTGAAAATATGAAAACTGAAAATATCTAATAACTAGGACAGCTGGCTAACGGAAAGCTAACTAACTACAAAACTGTTAAATAACTAATTCTGTGAAAGTAACACTGTTTAAACTAACTAACTAATTATGCATAAACTTATTAATCTCAACACCCCCCCTCAAGTTGGAGGTGAGGAGAACACAACCAACTTGTCCATCATAGCAGAGTGTTTGATTCCTGTGAGAGCCTTCGTTGGTATCAGACTTGTTGTGGCATTACAGACTTGGTCATGTTCCTTTTGTTAAAATGAAGAGTATATCCTCAATACCTGTGGTTTCTCATCCAAACAGCCTTGTTTTGCCCCATCTGTCCCATGGCAAGACAGACTAGACTACCTTTCCAACAGAGCACTCATAATAGCACTGCTATTTTTGACTTAGTCCATGTTGATTTATGGGGGCCATACCAAACACCCACACATGACAATTTTAGATTTTTTCTTACCCTGATAGATGACTTCAGTAGGTCCACTTGGACACATCTACTTAGTCATAAAAGCAATGCCCTACATGTTATTAAAACCTTCACATCCATGGTTGAAAACCAATTCAAATCTGCCATCAAAGTAATTAGATCCGATAATGGGCTTGAATTCACCAATACTGAGTCCATCCAATTTTTTCAATCCAAAGGTATTATTCACCACAAGTCTTGTCCATACACATCTCAACAAAATGGTGTGGTGGAAAGGAAACATAAATACATTCTTGAAACAGCTAGGGCACTTCTTTTTCAGTCCAAACTCCCTACAAAATACTAGGGAGAATGCATTCTAACTGCTACCTATATAATTAATAGACTCCCTTATGCACCTATAAATAACAAATGTCCATATGCTGTGTGGTATGGGCTGAAGCCTTTTTACTCACACTTAAGAAGTTTTGGTTGTTTGTGCTACCCAACTATCCCTAAAACCCAAAGATCCAAATTTGAACCTAGAGCATCTCCACACGTTTTTGTAGGATATCCATTTGGTATGAAAGGATACAAGGTCATGAGTCTAGCCACTAAAATGTTGTATGTCTCCAGAGATGTCATCTTTCATGAAACAATTTCCCCTTTGCAATGACTAAAGATCCTACTCTCTTCCCTTCTTCTCCTTTCCATCCTCACTGTTTTACTGATCAGTCTGCATATCCCACTTCTGATTCATCATTTCATCCTACTATCCAGTGTGATCATGAGACGTTTAAGTGACACAAATCCTACTTTACCTCCTGACCCTTCTAGTCCACCACATCATCCTTCTCATAGCAACACATCAACAACACCTCTCCAACAAGTTCACCACCCTGATATAACAACTAGGAAGTCTCATAGGACTCACAAATTGCCCACATACTTGTCAGACTATGTTCACTCTATACCTGTTTCACAACCCACAGACAACCACACATCAACACCAACAACCCCTACTACATTAACTGCTATTTTCCCTCAACCACCATATATCTCCTGCAGAATTGGATCCTAATAGTCAAGTCTTTGCTTTAAATATTGCTCATGATTGTGAGCCATCTAGCTATGAAGAAGCTGCTCTTGATCCTGCCTGGTAAACAGCCATGACTCAGGAATTTGCTGCTTTGCATGATAATAACACTTGGTCCCTTATTCCTTTGCCTATTGGTAAGAAAGCTATTGGTTATAGATGGGTATATCAAATCAAACACAAGACAGGTGGTAGTGTGGAAAGATACAAAGCAAGGCTAGTGGTTAAAGGGTATACTCAGCACCTTGGCATATATTATACAGAAACATTCTCACCAGTTGTTAAAATGACAACTGTAAGAGCTTTGATTGCTGTTGCTGCAAAGAAACAGTGGAATATATACCAGCTTGATGTTAATAATGCTTTTCTCCATGGAGATCTGCATGAAGAAGTGTACATGGATGTCCCTCCAGGTCTTGCTGTGCCACATACAGGGCTGGTTTGTAAGCTCAACAAGTCATTATATGGTCTGAAATAAGCAAGCAGACAATGGTATGAAAAGTTGATTGGAGCTTTGAGTTCAAGGGGTTACACTCACTCACTATATGATTATTCATTGTTCTATAGGAAAATGGGTTCTTCTACTGTTTTTCTAGGTGTCTATGTAGATGATATTATACTTACAGGAACTAATTCTGAAGAAATTGTCAATCTCAAAAGTTTTCTCCATGACCAGTTCAAGATCAAAGACCTTGGGAGACTGCACTATTTCTTGGGTTTGGAGATATTATATAAGGATGATGGAGTCATTATATCTCAAAGAAAATTTGTACATGACCTTCTGAAGGACTTCAATTGTGATAAACTAACTCCCATGGCTTCTCCCTTAGATCCTAATGTTAAGCTTAAGGCTCATGAAGGCAGACCATTAAGTGATCCTACCTTATATAGAAAGGTTGTAGGAAAGCTGAATTTCCTCACTCATACCAGACTTGATATTGCCTATGGAGTTCAACATTTGACTCAATATATGCAAGATCCCAGGGAACCTCATCTTCGAGCTGCTTTTCACATGTTGAGGTATCTCAAAAATGATCCCACCTTGGGCATCTTCATGTCATCTTCTCCTGATTTTGAAGTTCAAGCTTTTTGTGACTCTGACTGGGCATCATGCCCTGACTCTAGAAAATCTGTGAGTGGTTACATTGTCTTGCTGGGAAGCAGTCCCATCAACTGGAAATCTAAGAAACAGGAGACCATTTCATTATCCTTTGCAGAAGCTGAGTACAGATCATTACGAAAGGTTGTTGGAGAATTGGTTTGGCTACAACGATTATTCACTGAGTTGACTGTTCCTCCAATTGGTCCTTTCCAGTATATTGTGATAGTCAGGCTGCCCTTCACATAGCCAAAAATCCAGTTTTTCACGAGAGAACCAAACACATAGAGGTCGATTGTCATTTCGTTAGATCCAAGCTTCAAGAAGGTTTAATTTCATTACATCACATCAGCACTGGCGATCAATTGGCCGACATCCTCACGAAGGCTCTCACAGTAATCAAACACTCTGCTATGATGGATAAGTTGGCTGTGTTCTCCTCACCTCCAACTTGAGGGGGGGGGGTGTTGAGATTAATAAGCATATGCATAGTTAGTTAGTTAGTTTAAACAGTGTTACTTTCACAGAATTAGTTAGTTAACAATTTTGTAGTTAGTTAGCTTTCTGTTAGCCAGCTGTCCTAGTTATTAGATATTTTCAGAAATGAGAAATGTGCCTTCTCAATTAACTCTCTCTTAATCTTGAGTTCAGTAGGTTCTAGAATCCACCATAAATGGTGGTTCTCGCTGCTTTCATTCTGAGTTTTTACAAAAGGTACGTATCTTTTCATCTTTCTTATCCATTTCCATTTCTGAGCTGACTTCCTAGCTTCCCTTGAAGGTGTTCTACCTAGTTCGGATGTATGCGTTATGGGAGAACTCTTAGGAGAGTACGAACCATGTATACCAATTTTGAAGTTCTTGTAAGTATCCTTTGTCCTTCCTCTTTTGTGATAAACTGCTCAAGCTTTGACATATCCTTATCGTAGTTGAAGACGAACATGAGTGAACCAAATGCTTCCGCGCTTCATCCTTTTGGACTCCTAGCTAGATGCAAGTGAACAATGAGATCCAGTTCCTTGACTCTCATGTTTTCCTGGTGTATGTATCCCTTTTTGTTGACTCTCATAACTTAGATTAGTTAGTTCACTCACAACCCTTTTCCTCCTGCTATAGCACCAATATAATTTGTACATATTGTTGTGGAACTCTGTGGCTTCAAATCTGTAACTAAGCATATGTTAGTTGTAATTGATGATTTTGATTTTCCTTGTTTTAACTCTGATTGAAGGAATCTGGTGTTTGTCAATACTAAGAATTTTCATTCCCATGCTTGGTATCTGATTGTAGTGCTGGAATTGTTGTTTTTCCTCCTTGTCTATAGCTAAATTAGCAATATAGTCTGCTAGTTGATTAGCTTCCCTAAAATTATGTTTGACTGTAGTATTCATTTGAGACATGATTCCCTGAATGTTTTCTAACATTTCTAGCAACTCCCACAAGATTTTCCAATTATGGGCCAACATATTTCTCCAAGAAAGAGCGTTTGTTTCCTGTTGGTAGCCCTGAATTAAGAAAAACTGTAATGCCTTCCAAATAGCCATACCCTTTGCTTCCATGTTAGTAGCCACTCCTATGTTATGTGCTTCTGCATAGATTAGATTTCCTTCATTGTTTTTACTATAGAATCCATACGTACTCTGACCAGGATCTCCTTTGCTCGCACCGTCAGTGTTGCACTTAATCCATTCCTCCTCATATAGTTTCCAGCTCACCATGTCCTAATATAAAGTAGATTTGTATAACTGTAACATCTCCACCATATCCTTTCACTATTGTTGGACTTCCTTAAGCCATGGGAACCTAACTCATATCAACTGGAATATTGTCATATGACATTGGTAGCTCATCCTATTGAAAGAGTATCCCTTTTCATGTCTTATTGCATTTCTCCTCTTCCACAATTCCCACATTATTATTATGATAGCTGGGACAACCTTTAACACTTGCTCTAGTTTGTTGGCTGCCTTATGTTCTCACCACTTAACTATGAGTTGTTGAAGGTGCAACCCTTCAATGTTTATTCCTGCACAAGAAGTAAACCGTTTCCATAGTTTTTGAGCTATGAGAGCCGTTAGAAATAAATGAGTCATTGTCTCCATTTCTCCTTACTCGCAACAATAGCATTTGGAAACCACCTGCAGCCTCATCCTTTTAAGATTATCATCGATTTCAATTCTCCTTCTCCAAATTATCCAATGAAAGAAATCTATCTTAAAAGGAAGACCCCTTTATCCAAACATCCCCCGCCCATTCCACTTCCCCTCTTTTCTTCCTTAAATTATTGAAAGCCGAACCCATAGTGAACTGTCCTTGTTTGTTTCCTACCCACCAGACCTTATCAATACATTCTTCATTTGAGTAAGGCTTAATACTCTTTATGATATACATGACCATCTCCTCAGAAATGAAGGCTCGTAGCTTTTGCACATCCCATTCTCCATTTATAATAAAATCTTTGACCTTCAACTCTTCGTCTCTAAGTGTCCCCTTTTCCATGAAATATAGGGCCCCTCGCTTTGTAACACCTCAGAAATCTAGTAGACTAAACTAGGACTAAGTGAGAGGACTAGGGTCAAGGAAGAGGGCAAGAGCCAAGGAAGAGGGCAAGAGCCAAGGAAGAGGGCTAGAGCAGCCCACCTTCCCATAGACACTACCCCACCTTCCACGACCACGACCACAACCAGTGGTGAGGACAACGGCCCGTGGTGTGGCTCGTGGTGGGATAGGCAGTAGCCTCCCCAAAGCTACCCAAAACAGTCCCCTCCACACTAGCCACTTCACGACTCATGGTGATGACCACTACTCGTGGGAAGGCTCGTGGTGGTGCCTTATAATTTTATGGGGTAAGGGGAAGGTTGCCTAGCTACTGGATCATGACCACGAGAAGCACCACGACACGTGGAGCCTCACATAAAGGGCTTTTCATTAGACTTAGACTTTAGGGTCAACTTCAAACAATCATATATTTTAGCTCAAAGCAAATTAGGTGATCCATGACCTAGGAAATTAAAGGTCTTTGAGTCCTTTTTTCAATGCCACAAAGTTTTCCTAATTCCCATCTCGGAGTAAAAAGTTATGCCCAAAATAGTAAAGCGTTGTTAGGCAGAAATTCTTCACGACCCGTTTGATGAACGGGTCGTGGTGATGATGACGATCCGTTTTGGCCTCCGTCATGCCATTTCGGCAGTTTCCAGTCAGGGGACTTTTTGGGTCCTTTCCCAATTATTTTAACTCAAAGCTATGTCGTTTTTCCCAAGCCTAGGACCCCTATATAAGTCATTTTAACCCCTAAACTCACCCATTGATCATGTCATTATTTCCAAAACCCAAAAGAAAATCAAGATCTTCATCTCCAAAATATCTCTCTCTAGAAACTTGAAGAAGAAGAAGGAGATTCAAGCTAGGGTTCAAGAGCAAACTTACATACTTCGATTTCTTTGGGATTTGATAGTAAGGTATAGTAGTTTTCATCCATGGATTCCTTTCATCCATGGAGTTCTCTCAAAATCTTCAATTTCAAAAAGGTAGAAATTCCCAATTGTTAGGGTTTTCTTCAATTACCATGAGTTCCTTTCAAACTTGATTTAAATGATTGAATTAGGTTATATTAAGCATGAATTGAAGAATTCTTATGGTTTTTATGATGTTTCCCCATGAACCCATGTAATTCCCATATTTCTCAAGAATTGATGATATGATGTGGGTCTTTGTTGATGAAAGAGGAATTTTATGAATTAATGCATGAAGTGATAGAATCACATGAATTTATGATGAAATCCATATCTAATTCTTGAATTCTAGATGTGATGATTGAAAGTAGGTTTTGAACCTCTAGGAGGTAAAGTATGAGATTATGCATGTTTTTATGAAATCTATGAAAATGCTTTAAGGATTCTTTGAGAGTAAAGTATCAATGATTATGATGTTGTTGTTGTGTTGTTGAAATGACATTCTCATAAACACATAAGTAGCATGTTGCGAAAGGTATTCTCACATAGTAAGGATTCTTAGGTTGAAAGGCTTTCTCACCTAATTGAATCAAAGATCAAAAGTGATCATGGATGGTGAAAGGTTTTCTCATGCATGGTCTAATGAACTATCCTAATAAACTAGTTTGAATTGGTTGTCCAAGGGCATCTTTTCATGAGTAATGAAGTCAAGTAAGAAATGATTATTCCGTGGGAATTTATGCTTAGCACCACGCATGGTATAATGAACTATCCTAATGAATTAGTTTGAATTGGTTGTCCAAGGGTACCTTTTCATTAGTAATGAAGTTTCCAAAGTAATCTCATAAGATGGAAGTCCTTACGTAGTAGAGTCCGGATTTCTAGTAGCAATCTCCTTATCCCATAAACTATATGCTCTCATAGGTTATTTAGCTAGTGGATCTACTTAAACTAAGAGAAATGGTTCTACCTTAGGCAAGTAGACCAACCCTTTTCGGTGTGGGAGACGCTGGGTGATCATGTTATAGCTCACATGGTCTCTTGTCGGTTAAGGCTAATTCCCACAACAAGATTAATGATGAACTAAGATATGCTTAAGGAAGCATCTCTAGTGTTCAAAGATTTTAAATATGATGCTAGCTTGCATTGACTATGATGTTATGACTTGTGTTTTCCAACTTTCTCATATGATGCTTTAGCTTTATACATCACATGTCATGAAATGAAATGTCCCCATTTATCATGTTTTAAATTTTTTTATGCATTGCTATCATACTTCGTGTATTTTTGTACTAACGCATACTCTTGCCTACATTTTTCCCAAATGTAGGGTCTGACAGTGAGGGTTGACAGTTTTGTGGCTAGAGCTTGGATTTGATTGTTGTCCTAAGCTTGGTGAGTCATAATGGTTCGAGGACAGATTTCCTATGTTTAGTTTCTTTCATGTATTTCACTTTTTGAACATGATGTATGGGCTAGGCCCAATTTCATTCGATATTGTAATAAATGGCTATGATGAGACAAAGTTTCTAGACTTCTGCTTGTTCTTTATAAAAAAAACTTTTTAGACTTGAAATGTGTTTTACTCTTATGGTTCTATTTCTTATGTTATGAGGACTAAGTGGCTTGTATAGAGTCCTTCGGGTAAATATATGCCAAGTTACATCTAGGGAGTACCCCTGGGTCGTGACAAATTTGATAATCAGAGCACAAGGTTTAGAATGGTCCAAGGATGATTTCTCATAAGCCACGTCTAGTAGATTCTTATGCATGAGTGTGAAGCACGCCACATTTATGAATGAGAGGCTACAAGATATTTAGGAAACTCCACTTCTTGCATTACTCTTAAGTCGTGCGATAAAGTTTAAATCTATAAGGTCTCTCTCCTACCTTATCCGACGTTCTTCAAGATATGACTACTAGAAGAGAGTGCTACAAGGAATGTGAGAGAGAATGAGGAACAAGAAGCTCCTCAAGTTCCGGTCGATCCTTTGGCCGAACAAGTGTCAAATGAGGAGTTTAGGGTGGCTTTTCAAGTATTGGCCCAAGCTATGACGGCCCAAGCAAATAAGGAGGTAGTAGTTCCCGTGAACCCTAATATGAATTCGGTGGCTTAAAGAGTGAGGGTTTCACAAGAATGAACCCTCCGGAGTTTCATGGTTCCAAAGTGGAGGAAGATCCTCAAGAGTTTATCAATGATGTCTATAAGGTGTTGATTATCATGGGAGTTACACCATTGGAAAAAGCGGAGTTGACCACTTATCAATTGAAAGGTGTGGCTCAAGTGTGGTATAACCAATGGAAAGAAGGGAGGCGGAAGATGTGGGTCCTCTTGATTGGGAGAAGTTTATGGCCGCGTTTCTTGATAGGTTTTTTCCCCTTGAGAATCGAGAAGCCAAGGTGCTAGAGTTCATTAACCTTCGACAAAGAAGTTTGAGTGTAAGAGAGTATGCTCTAAAGTTCACCCAATTGTTTAAGTATGCTCCATCAATGGTTGCAGATTCAAGGGCTAGGATGAGTAAGTTTGTATTGAGTGTGTCTAAAATGGTGGTGAAAGAGTGCCGAACTACCATACTTATTCATGACATGAGAATCTCTCGTCTTATGGTGCATGAACAACAAATTGAGAAGGAAAAACTAAGGGAAAAGTCTAGGGAGGTAAAAAGGGCTAGGACTGGTGATGGAAATTTCTTTAATGCAAGGTCCGATGAACAAGGTCGTCCTAGATTTCGATAAAGGTTTTCCGGTCAAGATTCCTCCAATGCTCCTCCTAAGTTCAACGAAGATAGGGTGTCTAACCCTAAGCCTCAAGGAGGTAATGGTAGTGGATCTTCGTTACCTATGTCTACTTGTACTAAGTATGGAAGGAAGCACGATAATAGGTGCATAGCCGGCACAGATCGTTGTGATCAAAATGGTCACAAAATGAGGGATTGCCCGATGCTTAAGGCTAAAGAAATAGAGGGCAAACAAGCTACTCCTAGTGGTTCGGGTCCTAATGCTCCTAAGAAAAACCTTTTTTATGCTCTTCATACTAGAGGTGAACAAAAGAGTTCTCCGAATGTGGTTACCGGTATGTTGAAAGTTTTCCAACTTGATGTTTATGTTCTACTTGATTTTGGAGCTACCTTGTCTTTTGCGATGCCATATGTTGTTATAAGGTCTGATGTTCTCCCTAATGTGTTGTTAGAACCTTTTTCCGTCTCTACTCCTGTTGGTGATTCTATTGTGGCTAAGAGGGTTTATAGAAAGTTTCTTGTTTCCTT